AAATGACACTGCTAAATTTTAAATTTAAAAGCAGTGCACCGTTGATCTCAAAAATCCAATCCAAGTGCAAGAGGTCGGATGGATCAGCTTGATAAATATAGTGGGTGAAGAAGTAGAACCAAACTGTTTTTTTAGCTAGATTGAACTGTTTATATTTTACTTTTTACAAAAAAAAGAGGTCTTCTACAATTTGTGCAAATCAAAAACGTTAAGGGCCTATATATATTATAAATTTCGTGAACTCGAGGAAATTTTAATATTTTCATAAATACTTTTTGTCAAGAGAAAATAATTTTTTTCAAAAAAAGCTAAGTATTCAATCTAAAGTATTCAACCATCTATAAAAAGCACAAAATTTTTTTTTTTTAATTTTACCATCTATAGAAAATGTTGATACAAGCGTATAGTGGAAATGTGAAGTCTCGACGATTATTTTATTTTGAGTTACGATGAAAATAAAAATTAGACTTTATCGAAAACCGTTATGTCGTCGGTATGTTGTCGGTTTTTTACTGTTTTTACTGATAACTGTTGTAAAATTAATAAAATTAATTCCCCCTCCCCTTAAAGTACCATATTTCCTCTTACGATTGTGTGATGATCGGAATAACACGTGCACACGAAAAAACACACGTCATGGTAAACATTCCTCGTTTCATTCGGAATTTGAAACCGGTGGTAATCGACAGGATAAAAAAAGTTCCCAGCAGTATCAACCACAGTAGATTTTTGGCACCTTCAGGATAGTTTTTATGATTTTTAGACGGATTTGTGAAACCGATCGTGAACGAGAATTGGGCTAAGTGTAAAAACAATTGATTGCTTGCACTCATAATGTGTATAAGATTTACGATGTTTTACCGGGATAAGCAATATCGACAGCGATCGTTCGAAAACTCTGTTCACGTGATCGGTAGTACCGCACGTATCGCAACAAAAAAAGGTCTTTTGTGAGGGACGGGAAACGCGGTGGTTGTTCAACCGAGATCAACAACGACGAAGGGAACGAAGACTTCGATTATTCTTCGATTCCGACCACTCAATCAAATCGTGAAGACGTCTCCGGAAAAAATCGCGAATAACTCGACGATAATTTCTTTTCAAACCACACGTTTCGATCACAATATAGTTGGGTACGAATGTGACGTGAGCTACCCGGATGAGATGGCAAAACGCCCGCAGCTGAAGCCGTACGGAAACGGTTTTTCCGCGCCTTCGAGCCGCATCGTTGATGGTGTTGCTGTTACAGTCGTCTGCAGCAAGCCCGGATTATGATAATTTGGGGCCCGGGGCCAAACAATTTTAGGGGCCATAACCATAATCAAAATATTGATGACCCACGCATAATAATATTTCAGAGACAAAAAAAAATTATATTCTATTATTTATAAATTTATTTCTTGCTTATTTTAATACAAAAAATAAAAATGTTATTTATACAAATAGTTTTTTCATTCTTTTTGGAAAGCAAACTCATTAATTATATTATCGGTTTTAATTACCTATAAAAAATTACTCTCTGAACACAAAACTATAAAACCATATAATATTTTATACTTGTTTTTTATACGAGCTAAAAAAAGAGAAAAAATAGAAAAAAAACTTACTTTCTACCTACTATTGTTTGATATCTGTTGAGGCTCGGGGCCATGACTCCCCTGGCTCCACCCTAATCCGGGCTTGGTCTGTAGGTACTTCATCTCTAGAAATGTGATCACACCGTATTCGTACAAATACAAGGAGACTATTTCAGACACGTTTAACTAACCAGTCGTAATTATTCGTTACATGCACGTTACACGTACGTTGTACGTATTTCCAAAATATCACACCGAAAAATGATTATAAGAATCCCGAAAATTCTGCGGAAAAGGATGTGCTAATTCGTTATTGTTAGCTATCGTTTAAAATTCGGTTCGTATAGGTACTGGGTTACAATAAAAAATGTAGACACCGTACATACAGAATGATAATTTTTGTGTCAATGATATTTTATATATTTATATATATATATATTTAATAATATCGCTTAGTTAAGTTGGAATGAGTATTTGCATAATATATTTTTGAGATTCTTACAGGAAATTAATAATCAACGAAAAACTGGCACGTTGCGCGACAAAAAATAATATACGTAGCATATATACACATGTAATTGTACGAATCGTATGTATATATTTCACGTGTTACGTTATTAAAAAAGTACATAAAATGTGAGATTTTCGAAAACCCAAACGCTTTAGACATCACCGAAATCCAACCTGGAAATGTGACCGTAGTGGGGAGAGAGATTACACACACGCATGCCTCGAAAGAAACGGGTGAATAGGAGTTAAACTAGTGACACACACACATACGTATATGGATGAACATTCATTATTCACAAGTCACTTTCGAGTTAAATCTTGTACACAGTTGAAAGACTGCACATCTCTCGGTTTTTAGATTATGGCTGATAGAAGTTTTTGGAAGCCTTGTAAAGTCTTGAAGCGTCAATTGAAATGCATAAGACATTGAAAAATCGTTATTATGTCGAATTTCTATAGAGTTAACTTGGAATAAAGGTGATTGATATTGATCAATTACAATCCGACAAAATCCGACCACATCGCATACAACTGATAGTATACGTCTCAGGTTTAAAAATTTTAAACATTATCGAGAATATCACGCGATAATAGTTTACATCAGAGATCGCTATTGAACGAAATCTTCAGAACATTTTTTTAGGTCATAACTCGACGCGTATGCAAATAGTTTTGAAATAAAATATCAACACCAGTCATACAACGGCTACTACACGTGTACGAAAGTGACGTAGTTGACGAAGACTAAAAGGGCCCTACTCCCACATTACTCGTATATTGTTTACACATGTTCGAAATCGTGTAACATATTTGCGGCATGTATACGATAAAATAGGTTTATCGAAGGCTCAAATTCATATTTTATCGAATCAAAAACAAAGATATAATATGATTCATAAAAAAAAAAAAAAAAAATATAGCTCATGTCATCTATGTCAATACGACCTATAAGAAGTGTATTTTAATAATACCTTGTAAATAATCATGTAAATTCTACATTTTAACGACTGTTGTACACAATGAGTAAACATTGTTATACGAAATTAAGATTTTGTTGGTTCGAAATTTTAAAAATCGAAATCAAATAGGAAACAAAATGTTGTTTCCGTTTCAAATATTTGTACTGTTCCTCTCTCAAAAAAAAAAAAAAAAAAAGACTAACTATTGTCAATACGTGTTGATCGACGGACGAAAAAATCCGGATATGTCCGACTGTCGAACGCGATAATGTTTCATACTCCGCCGCGTTCAAAATAATATTAATAGAGCAATAATAATAATAGTAATAGTAATAATACATAGAAAGTGATTGTCGAAGGACTTGGATCCTGACGGGGGAAAGAGCCGCGGCGTAGACGTATTATGTGCTCGTGTCTACACGATATTGTAATGTGTACGGACGGGTCGGCGGGTGCGATACGCATGAATGGAAACGGTGGCGGCGGCGAGGCCAAAAGAGTTAATTAATCGTCGCGAGCCGATGTGACGACGACGACGACGAGAATCGGCGTGGCCCCGTTGTAACATTATTATTATTATTATTATTATTATTCATCTTCGACCGGAGCGCAGAGAGAACGCACACACGATTTTGTTATCCAACTAATTTATGTACGACGCGTACGTGTGTGGTGTACATGTATACGCGCGTCACATAGTGAATCGAAAACCATTTACATAAATATATTTAGGTACACGCGTATACAATGTTTCTTTTTTTTTTTATTTGCACGTTCGAAAAACGTGCGAAACCCGCAAAATATCAACTATCCTGTAAGATATGTGTACATGATGTGTGTAACTATACCTATTTTTCGTTTTTTCTTTTTCTTTTAATTTTCAATTACTTCGAACACAACGTTATACCGTCCGTGTACGCGCGGTGAACTAAAATGTTTGTTTAGATGTGTATTTATTACCAATAATAAGCGATTATTAGTGTTCATCAGTCGCAGCTATGTTATTACGATTCGATTTCAAGATTGAATGATGAGTGTTATTTGTGAACGCGTCACGGTTTTACGAATGTTACATATAATATTAGTAACGTATTCGACGGAAATCCTTTGTACTAATCTGTTCGAGTTCAGTCGTATGCGATTCATGTTGGTTGAGTAGAATTGATCGCAATTTTTTTTTTTTAAATATTTATTAAAAATAATCATTACAATCAGGTTAATACCGAAATCCGTGTATTTCGAGCCATTGCGCATACGCGTTATGATTTACATTTTTAATTAGGAAATTATTAATTCGATCATTTTCAGACCATGTTGAATTGTTCTACTTTTTAGAATAGTGCGTTAAAATGTAAAATAATTGTATACTGAAATCGATTGACAGGTATTACATTTCGCTGAGTTTATTCTCTACGTGTGTCCAGTACATGTTTTTTTTTGTCAAGTAAACATGGAATTTAGAATAATTACAAAAATTAAATAAATACAAAAAAACAATCGTTAATTAATTGTGGATTTTTTACTATCATTTTCTCCGCAAAGAAAATAACGTGTCGATTTTACAATGGTGTTTTTTTTTTTTTTTAATCCACTTTTCGGGTTGTAAAATTGTTTCATACAGTATCTCATTAAATCGGAATGTGGACATACGGAAGGTATATTGGAAATTTGATTAAAATATTATCCATAATCTTATTATACATTTTGTATTATATCTATCGTTCACATGGTATCATATGCGTATACACTATCTGTTGTCCGATTTAATCTTAATCCCGGTGGGTAGGTCAAAGGCCGAAACGATGGTAAAAACGATGTAGACATATTCCGCTGATACTACGCAATCGCAATAGCATATGTTTTGAAATCGTCACATCACAAAGTCATCAAATCTCAACCAGACATCAGCCTCCGCAAAGTAGAATTTTTGTTAGCGATGCGTTTTTTTGCCAGAGTATACTTAATAATACAAAACATGCTATGACTAACTTAATCGAAATATAACACACACTCTCACACACACACACTTACACGCTAATATTTCTGTCAGACGTAGTCATCATGTAGAATTTATGTTACGCTATACAAGAAATGCATATATTTTTACATTGTGTAACACTTATTATATGTATCATATTTAAATAAAAAAAAAATACGAGTAGGCCTTCCATATGGGATTTGAGTCATTCGTTATATTAAGGAAATGATTCGTAGGACTATATTTAAATTTTCAACGTTTTCCTGTTAGTCGTCCACCACCGCCGTCGCGCACGAACAAAAATTCTTTCTGGCACGCTGAAGCGTGTATCGAACATGATTGTTTTAACACCCCAATACTGGATTGCAGAGAATTCACAGTTTATGTGGTATACTACCGCTGCACCATCATGCGTAGTACGGTCAGCACATACTTCAGCAATGTACAGATCTTGGAGGCTAAGCAAAATAAAACTACTACATTATACATACTACTTATACATGGTCGGCTGTTACATGCGGCTCCCGTGTGTAGTGCCTCGCTGGTTTTTCATGATCATATAAAGCTACTGTCCAGTCCACAGCCAGCATCAGCGTTGAGAGTCACCAGTGCGTACCAGGACGGTATCCACATTGGTTGTCAGTAGGTTAGGTTAGGTTAGCTGAGGATTATCTAACCTGCACACTTGATGGCGAGAGGTCGGTTCAAACGGTTTTTTAAAAGCAGCGTGGAAGATGCAAGGCACGCGGGTGGACACGGGATCGTGGGACCGGTGGCAGCAGGAATGGTGTGCCGGAACAACCAAGGGTGCGTGGACGAGGCTGCTCATACAAAATGTGTGAGAATGTGTGAGAGTCGATCTCACAAGGATCTAACAGGATAACATTTGATTCAATTGCTGACTGGGCGTGGATGCTTTCCATCTTACCCGTACAGATTTGTCTGAGCGACAAACCCAGAGTGTTGGTCCTGTGATGACGCTGGTGATTGCTCGGAGCACACGCTCTTTGGATGCGGTCGGTGGAGTCGAAAACACATGGTGCTGGGGACCATTGTTGGGCAGGACGTCATGTTGGGCCCAGTGATTCCTATAACACAGTGGAGTATTGAGAAATGGAAAGCGGTTGAGAAACACATAAATGATGTTGTGATGACCAAGGGAGTGGAAGAGCGGTTACAACAACGTTACGAATGTTAGTACGGGACAGCAAGGGCGGCGGTCCGAGAAGAAACTGCGATGATTGACGATTAAACAATACATTGTCACTACGAATAATTTGTTGTTATGATAATTGGCTGGATCCCATACGTACTGTTTGACGATATGTTATAATACATAAAGATTTTGTAAAGTTGTTAAGATAAACAAACGACGGCGGCTCGGTGGGAAATCTGAGCAAAGGCAGTTCTCTACGAGTTCGGCGATTAAGATAAAAAAAAAAAAAAAGTAGAAGTAGTAGTAGTATCAGCAGCAGTAGTATTAGTAGTAGTAATATATTATGTATTAGCGTTATAGTAATAGTAATAGTAAAAGGGTTAGTATTTCACCAAACTGTCCGCGAGGCTGCGTTTGAAGTACCATGACGTATGCCCTTATGAATATTAATAACATACATTGTATTTCTAATCATGTATTTCGAACTCGATTGTGCGCATTTAGGGGATGACTGTATATACACACACACTCACACGCACGCACGACGCACATCAATCTCAATCTCCGTGCACACAATCTAATATTATTATACGAAACTGTGTACTCGCATACAGTACATATATATATGATATGTACAAGTGTTTATATACTCTGCATAAACGCGTCTTATCCAATATCCTAATCTTCTAGTAATGGAATGTTTGTTATCTTAGACGCAACCCTCACGCGACCTAGAACCGTGGAATAATATTGATAGGCGTGCGTACACGGGCACCGTATTGTTCATACGCTAGTAAGTTATTCGTAGCATTCGCCAGAGCAACGGCATGAGCATGTATGTATCGCCCTGGGATTTAATATTTTCCATTAATTTTCGGGGGATTTTCAATTTGTTTTTTGCTACTGTTTTAAGTCCATTAGCCATACATGTACGTCGGTTTGCTCGAAAACCAAACATCTTACCGTTCTTGCGTCGAATTCCAAATGAACGGTATCGATCAATGTCACATCAATAAAATGCTTGCCAAGTCCTGGTACACGTGTCAGAAAAAGACACCCAATGACTTCACCAAATTCGACGGGTAAAATAATGTACTGAACAGATCTGCAAAATTATCGATAAAGGACGTAGGTATCTAATAAGTATCATATGAAGCGAAAAATAAACGAATCTGAATCTCATGGATTAAACAACGAACCGTATGAACCCTATTATATATATCTATTACGTACCTACAAATATACTAGGCCTATCGATTTGTATCCAGTTATTTATATTTATTATTAACGTTCGTGCATGAGCCGAAGATGTATTTAATTTATAGCTCCAGATCGATTTCTGCGTTTTAATGGATTCGTGTGAAAAACGTAGTACCATACACGTATTATAATATTATACTGACAAAACTACAACTGCGAACATTGTAAAAAAAAAAAAACTTGTTACTTATCTAAATCTATATTTACATAAAATGTTTCATAATATTTAACTCTGGCGGTGCATTAGTTTTTTTTTTATTTAAATACGAGTATCTTTAACTCTTTAAAAACGCATGAGAAAAAAACTAGTTCCCTAGAACATTCATTGTTAAAAGACATAAATTAAGTAGTATTTTATCTATAAATATTTATTACGTCTTAATATCCGGGTATTGAAAACTGTTTTGTCGTTGCGAACGTCCGTCGTATCAATTTTCACGTCGCTGTATCTCGTGTTTACGATTCACCAAAATCGTCGATTTTGTAGTACGCGAGTACTGAAAATTGGTTGTGCATTCATAACGAATCATATAATAACGCTAGTCGCTAGAATACAGTAAAATAATTTGACAGTCCATTTGTTTCGTGATCGTATTATCTCCAATGAATGTAACCGATTTTTTAATGTAAAATACTTAACAAAAAAACGATTATGTAATATTAAAAAAAACTTTAAGTACGTACGTCAATAAAATGATAAAAAAAAGTGAGATAAAAAAAGAACGCAGTGCATTGGTAAGAGTGACGGTATTATATTCGATTCAGTTTTAATGATCAAATTAATGTTAAAAGTAAACATATTTTTTACACACACACACACTCACACACTCACACACACTTATTGTTGATTAATGATTTTTTTTTTCAGAAACATTTAGCGTCATACATAAATTAGTTAATTTTAGTTATAAATCGTACGATTAGTTATTAATGGTTCGCGATAACCATTAAGTCGTTTTAGTTGCTTTACATTGAGTATTGTAATCGTTATCATTCGATTCACGAGTAAAATGTTTAGAAATAAAACACGAACATTATTATGATTACGTTCGCGGCCGCCATTCGTACACCTATAAACCAAAAAATATTGTTGAAATTAAATACACATCCTGTAATTGTATGTTAACATTTGTCGAATTAGTATACACTTCTTCGTCTTGTTGTCGTCTACATTTTTCAATATCGATTATATTGTATTGTTTGACTAAAAGTATATTTTAATTAGGTGTTTAAACAACGAATTCGATTGATATACATTTGGGCGCATTAATTGTTTGATTGCGTTAATTCTCCGCAAATCAATGTTCACTCCAACAACGACGGTGATATCTGCATGCGGTTGAGCATTATTTAAATACCTTACTGTTACCAGAGTACATGTCGTAATGACGGTGTATAAATACCAATTATTTCGTCGTAAATTATCAATCGTGAAAATATCCGCTAGTCGATCCGACGACGAATCACGCCTTACACCCGAAATGTCATCGACTTGAACGCATTAGCGTATTTTAGGGGAGGCAAAGGGGGCGACCTCCCCTGAATCCGTATTCAAGGATTTGATTATATGTGAGATACACATTTGTTTTAATGTGGATCATTTTATAACGAAATCAAATTACTCGTTGCTGTGAATACTGAATTGGGCTTTTTGTCGGGTCCATACTTAGTGAAAAATCGAATAAGACACAAGCGTAACTTTCAAAACACAGACAGGTGTTAAAAAAGAAATACAAAAAAGTCGATTCTAAGTGGATCCAGCATTATATTATAAAAAAAAACCACATATTATTAAGCTGAATTCACCTGAATTAAATATTACCAAAAATTTAACTTGTAAATTTTGAGCCTGAATTGAAGAAAAAATTTGAGTTCCCTCCTCCCTATAAGTAAGTTTGAATACGACCCTGTTTGAACATGAATTTGAACGCAACGCATGTATATCATTCGAACGAAACGGTTTTTGTCGCGTTAACAGCGATTGTTATTTCGATCGGAAAATGTGTCCCGCGTCGATCGCGAAATGTGGACGTAATGTAAGAACGTTATGCCGAAAACACGTGAGCGCAACAAGTAGCGTACGCGATGTCGGATCCGTGGCGCGAAAACACACTCGGAACTCGGTGACGCAATGGAAAACAATAGGTATTGCCGTATACGAAATACTTGATGTTTTGATCGTGGGAGTCGGTCGTCACTTCGACTCCGGTAAAACTCGTCGTTGCTTTCCGTTTATTGATTTCTAGAAGATTTTTTGTTTTAAGCGTCTCCCGGAACGTATACACGTAATGTTGTGCGTATGATTGGACGTGTGGAATTGCTGGCGGGAACGAAATCGATTCGAAAAAAATAATCGGATCGGACCGGAAAGTGCAGCGGCACGGTTTCAAAAGCGAACGGTTGCTAAAATTTTCCTCTACCGGGACGGAAGTCGAAGGCCGATTTGCATACAAGGCCTTGTTGATGGATCGTTAGCGCGCGCGAGGTTAAGACCGAGACCAGACGGACGCCGGTAGAAAATGCAAACGAGATCATCCTCGGACGGATGCCGAATCAAGTGCGGTCGAGCGACTGTCGAACACGTGATTTGTACGTTGCGAACGCGTTTTCGGGATTTAGGACACGTTCGATATTGCGCGCGCACATTGTCGTCTCGAACGCATAAATACATAATATCAATAACACACGTAGACACGGCGGACACACGAGCTAAATAATATAATAATAATATTATCCGTGTGCCAGTTGTTTTGTCGTTCGTATATTATATTGCACGCGCATAATAATACATACATCACCGCCGCCGCACATTCGACGACCATAATACGGCGAGTATGTATATTGTTATGCGCGTATAATGGTAATAAAACAAAAAAAAAAAATCCTATACGCACATACATATATATATATGCGGAATACAAATAACGAAATCCGTAAGCGATCCGAGGAATAATAATAAACGGGTGCGAATGGGCAATAATTTCTCAACCATCTGAGACCGAACGGAATGTTGAACGACCCGAAATAAGTCGTTCGTGTGCGTGTTCAAAGGACTCCGGGAGCTATCGTGTTTCGTCTACTTGTTCATTCAGCCAGCGGTTGTCGCGGCGCAGACGCGGTCCGCGGAAATGCTGCGTGCAAATGAACAATGAATGAATGAAACGGGCGGCGGCCGGTTCTAATTTATTCCCGAAAAAATATTTTCGCTTTTGTTCCACGTACACCATACGATGTATATAATACACGAATCCGGAGTGTGGTGCCAAAAAAGTACGTTTTTATTTTTATTTTTTTTTTCTGTACAATGCGCCACCGGCTATCACAAAAAAATTTGTTTTAGCATTCAAAACGGGTATTAATAGGATCACGTAGAAATGCACAAGAACGCACGCCCACGCGCGGTCATGGCGAACGACTCCACAGGGCCAAGGAGCCCGGACGGGATGTGTGACATTTTTACGTTGTGTCCGCCGCTGTTTCTGGTGCTCGGATACCAGCGGCGGATTGACTCACCGGGATATTGGGAAAGTTTCCGGTGGACCGGTAAACGTATTATAACACTGGGCCGATGTACTTGGATTAAAAATTATTTTATAAAAATAATTTATTTAAGCATATTGTATTAAATTGTAAGATAAAAACCTAGTGTAAACGTGATGTAAACAGTTCTTCGAGCATTTAATCCATGAATAAATGAGACTTTTATGGAAAATGATTATTATTGGATGGGGTGGACTGGCCGTACGGTAATTTCCCAGGCCAACATTTTTAGACAATCCGCCGCTGTCGGACACGTATCCTCCTCCTTATCTTTTTCTTTTCCGAACAGTTTTCCGAACAAATCCGAGACGGGCACGCGCGTTTCCTTGCTGCGGTACGTGCCTGCGCGGCCGTCGTGTGACACGAGTGTACGACACAATATCACAATATCTCGTGCGACGACGAATTTCGCAACGCACCGGTAGGCGTATTCGGACGAACACGTAACGGCGCGCGGTCGATAACCGATTGATCATATTTTACGTGTACGTAACGAACTCAATGCGCTCTCGGCTAGTCGAATGTCAAATGTAAAAGGTTACGAATTTCATTCGAAGGGATTTGTCGAACGTTATACAAATAAGAGGTTCCGTCTTGGTGCGGTGAAATTCCGGTATTTTTTTGTTACCATGAATAGAATTATATGAAAAATCCCCGCATTGGATCCAAAAGCTTTAAGCTTTTTTGGAATTTTTTTACCTTAAAAATGCAGTGGATTTTCGTGATTTTTATTGTTCGTTTTACATCTGTTACTGAACAATGTTTTCTAACAGAAATTTCTTATGATCGTGTTGATCGAAGTCATCGTGTACGAACTCAAAACGAAAAGTTCATGATGAAATTATTTGCGATTATTAGTATTGAGGGTTCGAATATCAGTTGAAATTTTACTTTTTTTGGAATTTTTACTAAATTTTCACATTTATTCGGAAAACTGTTGAGAAATTCAAAAAATTACTCCTCTCCCGAAAGCATCAACTATATTTTATTTTTATCTAGTAAAATAATAACTCAATGGCAATGGGTGTATAAACGTGCTAAGGAAATCCGTAATTATAATCAATTTTTTCTTGAATGTAGCATATATTCGTTAATATTTAAGACTTTAATACCGAACATTGGCACACTGTCCAATTTAAATGATGTATATGTTGCGTATAATACATTAAAGTTGTGAATTATTTTAAAAAATAAATCGTATCACATTGTAACCTCGATGTCACATATTACATGTAAAATTTAGTTCCTGCAGAATCTAAATATTTTGATATTACTGCAGTCAAGCGTTTTATTTTTATATGTTGATGATAGACATATCGACTGATAAAAGGCAAAATGAGTTAACTGACATAGTGTACGAGTACACTGTGGGACATCATTGCGAGTAAAATGATCGTAGTTTATATCTGAGTAACATGCAAAAACAAAATTTTATAATAAATTATAATACTTAAAGACATTTTTTCAAACCTAATAGTATTGTTAAATTCATATAAATTATATGTATAAATATGTCTATGGAAATAAGAATTATCTTTTTGAATGGTTTAAGTATGTCATAGTGACATCTGCAA